TTCAATTAAACTTTCTGATGAACAATTTCTGGTCAATACTTCTGAATCTTCCTTAATAAGGAGTGGCCTTTCCATTTTTCACTGATTCATCGAAAACTTGAACTCTGCAAAGAGTTGGAGTTTTTCCCCACCAGACTTGAGATGACTGTAACATAAGGAAGCAAACCTAAGGACCAGTGGGATTATTTTGGTGAAACTCACTGAGCTGTGTATTCATAGAGAACAGCATGATTTATTCCTATGGCAGACCAAATGAGCAGGAAACGTGGACAGGCTGATAAATCATTGATGTGAATGACAGTATTTCTCTGTCTAGATAGCCAAGGTGGGTAAAATTGTGAGTCTGAGAATGTTTTTCTGAATCTTGTCTATTCCCATGACACACAACAAAATGTTGTATCAACATAAAGGAGACCTCCTGTCTCTTGGAAGAGAAAGGATTGCTGAAGGAGTGCTTCAATTCCCTGTTTCTGACTCCTTGAGATACAATATACTGTGGCTTGGGATAACATATAATCAGAATTTCTTGATTAAACTTTAATGCTCCTCATTGAACATTTCAGGGGAAGAACGTACAAAAGGTGCACGGAGATGTAATATACCTCACTTCTCACTAGCCCAGTGTCAAAAATGTTTTCCCAGATGCTTTGACAGAAGCCAATATTCAGAATGTTTCCAGCACCACTGCTGCAGAATGAATTTGGAGAGTTAGAGCTTCTGAGCTGCTGGGCATGCAGTGTCCTTACCTGTACCACTGAAAGTGGTGAGTGCCACTGAAGAATCCCTCACTGCCTGTACAGGGGCACAGACACTGCCATAGTGAGTGAGAGAGCACTCACACAAGCAGGGCAGGATGTAGGCAGGAGACAGCCACTTGCCAAGTGGATCACATAGCATAGCTGTGATCCTACCCTCTCTATGCCTTAGATACCTGCTGTGCACTAAAGCTCTTTATTTGCTCTGGACTTGGAGGATTAAAACCAGACTCTTCTCTAGATGGTAAAGGAGGACTGACTGCTTATGTTAGGGGATGGGTTGAAGCTCTGCATACCTCTCATCTAGTTAGTAGCCTCCCCACTCAAACTTTGCCAGTGAGGAGGAAAGCTGGGTTTCAGTCTTCCTTCAGCAGGTTCTATATTTGCTAAAGCTGGACTATTGAGCAGGATGGTTTGAGGGGTGATGAGAGAATGGAAAGAATTAGCGAGTGTAACATCATTCTAAAGCCTGGTTTTGACAACTGCTTTTTAAGCTGTATGGTCTAATTCTCCTTCTGCTCATACAGTATCAGTGATTTTGGGCTTTTTTTTTTTTTAGGAGTATATCAGAAATAGGAATTTAGCTTAGATCTGTGAACTGACTTATTGATGTGGGATAAATCTGAAATAACACTTGAGTCAGCAACAGAACAGATGAGGACGGGCTGACTTCTGCAACTGGGCAGGAGTGTGCTTTTGACATACATACTCTGTGTACAGCAAACTTTGTAACATGAAACTGGAGTTAAACATCTGTAGTCCCATTGTTGAGGTAGGGTCACAGAGTTCAAGAGGGTATTTGGCATACATGGTGAAGAAGAAATAAGCTTTGTAGAAGGAAACACTTGTGACATTTGAAAATATTCTCTCCTCACATTCCCTTCTCATTCCTTCCATTGTTAGTTCCTGGAATATTAATTCAATGCTGGGCACCAGCCTTGTAGAAGGACTATAACCTTAGACTCCAGCAATCCATACTGAAAGTTATTCCTACTTGAAAAGATGATGGGGCTTAGTTTCTGGAAGCTCATTTGGGTTCCTTGTGCATATCACCTGCAAGCACCACTTTGTTTTGTTGCAATCCCTACCCCAGACTGGGACAAAAATCAGAACTCGGCACATTGCATTCTGTTTTTTCAGATGTGTATATGCACCCACACCCTGCATATAAGCAGTATATTGCAACAATACTGTAAGGGAAGAAGATCCCTTAATGCAACAAAAGAATTTGGAAGTAAGTGAGCAAAATCAAATGGTAAATTTTTTCACAAGTCCTTGATTCTCTGTCATATCAAACCTTTGAACTCACCGTGTTTGTATCTATCTCCACTGTTTTAAGGACTAAATGAGGAGCAGGAACACCTTCTGACACTCCTGTGTGACCTTCCAGTTCCTGGGAAAAAAGTAGGCATTTAAAGATGGCCACACCTCAAGCAGTGCAATCAAGCAGGTAGAAATCTACAGTTTTGTGTTCCTGGTCTGCAACAGGAGCTGATTGCTGTACCTGACCTCCCCCCCGAGAAAAGGGTGTGAGGCAAATTTATTTCCCTTTGTTACTCCAAAGCTGACACAGCACTAGGCCTCTGCCACCCTTCTAGAAAGCCACAGTTGATCAGCAAAACATGATGTTTAGGAACTTAGAACAGAAATCTCTGACAAGTTAAGGTGGTCTGAAAGTCCATTACAGTGCAATTTCTACTGAGGGCAGTAATTACAATTTGACGCAGGACTTCTGAGTCACAAAACCAATAATGTTTTGTAGTCGTCTCCACTTCAAATACTACATCAAAAAACATGCAGAGGCACATAAAAAGTAATTTAAAATATTTTTTCTGAATGTACAAATCCGGGGATACTTTTCATTTTTCTCTGAATTTTTGCTTTTGAATAACTGCATGTTGGAAAGCTTTTTATATTTAAAATGTTATGAAAATCTGTAATGTTAACACTTCCGGTGCTTATTTTTGCTAAAGAAAAAAATAAATGGAAATGGGCCAAGACAAAAGACAGTACTACTTTCTTAAGAAGGGAGATTGCAAAAGCAAGATTTGCAAACAGATAAAAATTAATATTGAAGAGTGAAAACAAGCATCTTGTCACTTCAACTGAAGGTTTTCTTTGAGAAGCCAGTCACTGATTATATAGTTCATAATCCCAAGAAGTCAAATTTTGGCATGAGAAAACTCTGGTGTCAGTATTAACATCCTTTGTGTCCAAGTAATGCCACAGACTTTGAGACAAAACAAACTATTCTTGTGTCTTTAACCTTTGGCCATTGGTGTGTGATACTGGGCACAGTCAATGCTGAACAAACAGCATTAGTGTGGATCTCATGACAGCAAGGGGGATTACAGCTGAGAGCAGCATTTGATCTGTGATTGACTGTGATCTGAAAATGTAAAGCTAGAATAAGGAGATGTAAATTTGACCAACTGGCCTGTGCTATCTGTGCGCAATCTCAGCTTGGCAAGACAGGCAGAACAGGTAGGAGACGTGAGGCTGAATAATACCAGACTGCTTTGAGTTCATGTATGGGCAAAACTCAGTGCAGTTCCAAAGCAAGTCCAACTGGCCAACTTCAAAAGCACTAGTAAAGCCCTACAATTACAGAGTTTGTGGTAAGTTCTACCTGCACTGACCAAAGCAAACTAATGCACAAGAATGCAAAAAGGCATGATATGAAAAAATCTGCTTCATGTAATTATGTGACTAAAAGTGAAAGGAACAACTGGCATAGATGGAAGGGTAAACTTGAGAAATCATTTATGAATATTTCAAAACATCTGATACTGTATTGAAACTGGAACTGCTGGAATTTTTTGGCTGCTCTTCCTGAAGTTTTTCTTCTTCATATGGTGAACAGTCTGAAGAAAGGCATTTCATTTGGGAGGCATAGTGCTTTATCAAGCAGGGTCCCTGCAGCCCTGGAAGAATGAGGGATAAGATGCTTAGCCATGAACTGCTGAAGGTGAGCTGTGACATGTTTAGCTGGAGCTCGGACAAAGCAGAACGCCTGCAGGTTCTTTTTAAACAGTGGGGATAGAGCTTAGGGTGCCTGTACACCTCTGTTTGGCAAGCTGATGAGAGGATGCTCACCAAAATGGAACATGGGAGTAGGTACGCATTGTGTAACAGCATCTTTTCCCTCATAGCTAAACTGTGCATCAGACGGTACAGAAAGAAGGCAGGGAAGATAATTAGATTTCTTAGATGTGGTGCTTTTTTTAACTTTTTTTTTCCAGAGAAGATGCCTCCAGCTGCTTTGTTGCTTATAGCAGTGCCTCTAGTACCTGCTATTGAGGTAGCCCTGAACTGCCCACGGGTGGATATCTGCACTCTTCTCGTGTTAACTCCATAAAACAACACATTTGGGAAATCATAAGCTTCAAAACTCATCCAGGTGAATAACATGATGATTCTAAGCAAAACCCTCTCTGAAACCTGTATTTCAATATACTGACAGTTTCAGCTGTTTCTACCTGTATCCTTCCCAGATTAATCTACCTCTTATCAATATCAGATGAAAACAGTGATTTGCTGTAATTTTCATGTTGTGATGGCCTGCCAGGATGATGTACCAACCATTTATAGACAAGGTGGGTTCAAACCTTCTGGGCTGTTGTTGTGTGGTGTTGAAAAACAGCAGCACAGTGCTTTTTCCATTTTCTGAGAAAGGATTTATATACATTCTGGGCTTCATCTAGCATCTTCCAAAAGAGACAAGATTTTACTCTTACAAAAAGCTTCCTTATAGCACTGGACAAACAAAATGAAACTGCTGGATGGAGAAAGAGAGCTGTGCTCTGCCATTCCAATCTGGGGTAAAACCAGCCCGACAGCAAGCACAAGCTATAGAAACTGTTTGCATTCTGATACCAGCAGTTTCCAAAACCAAGGCGGGTGTGATCATTATACAAGCAAACTGCAAAGCACTGGGGCACTCGTTAGTACGGAGTCAGGCTGGTTGTGTTTTGCTTTCGGGGTTTGGGTTTGTTTTTTTTTTTCCTTCTCGTTTTAGAATGGAGGAAAACGACGCATTAGCAGCAAGGGAGGCGGACCTCTCACCCCACCTCTGCCGCAGCTACGGGTGAGTTTAGCAGGCGTGTGGAAAAGTAGCAAAACCGCTGCGCCGGGCAGGGAAGCCGCATCCCGCTGCGCGCCGGGTCGTGCCTCTCCCACCTCGACGGCTGCCGGGCGGGGCCGCCCCGCTCCTCCTGGGGGGCCGGGCTGGGCGCTATAAAGGGCGTTATAAAGGGCGGGTTGCTCGTGGTGCTTCTCTACTCCCCGCTCTTTGCTATGGCCTCCGAGCGGCCCCCGTCGGCGTTCGCCGGGGCCGGGCAGCAGAGCGGGCTGCAAGTGTGGAGGGTGGAGCGGCTGGAGCTGGTGCCGGTGCCCCCCAGCCGCCACGGCGACTTCTTCGTGGGGGACGCGTACCTGGTGCTACACACCGTCCGCCGGGCCGCCGCCGCCGCCTACCGCCTCCACTACTGGCTCGGTAGGCAGCGGGACGGTGCGGGGGTCCGGGATGGGGGGGTAGCGAGAGCATGTCCTTGGTGCTGCTGGTGAGGTTTCTGACGGCTTGGCTGGGCTCCAGCGGGTGGGGAGCTGAATTTTCCCCCTCCCTTTTCACAAGGGCTGCGTGCGTGAAGCTTCCAAGTTGAGGTGCTCAGTAACAGCGCTACAGCCAAGGATCGGGGCGATGCCGAGCCTCGCTGCGAAGAGTGTAGCAGTGCGAACGGGCTCTGTGGGTGGGAAAATGGGGTGTGACAGAAAGGTGAATGTTTGTGTGCTTTGTGGTGTTAGCTCGGGAAAGCGCTGAAGGTTTGCAGTCGAGTCTTGACTGCATCAAACGAAATGAAATTCAGATGGAGTTTTCTTGTCTTGTTTCTACTAGAGCTAAACTTCCACCTCAGCCATCTCCCTGTGGTGTTGTACTGCTTTGCGTCCAGATGTTGCCTTTTCAGACGTTTCCTGATTGTGCAGAGATTGGAGGCAGTCACCAGTGTTTCTGTGAAACCGCCTCAATAGCACTCTGACAGCGTTGTAAAGCTGTCAAAAGTAACAGGGAACCCTGCAATTGGGCTGTCTTTTGCCTTTAGCCTTGCCTAGCACAGTAGGGCAAAATAAGGATGACATAAGGATGCATTTTAGGTGACTTCCTCATCTTCTGGAGGTTTTCTGAGACTTCCTTGTCTGGTCACCAACATATCCAGCCACAGTGGTTGCTCTATAGGTGCCTGTTTCTTGTTTCACCATCAGGTTTGTATTTGTAGGCAATCATCTCGGTGAAAGCACATAAAGACAGGTCAATGTGCATTAATGTTAATGTGATTGAGTTGCTGTGGTTCTTGTACTTTTGGGTGCATTGAAAAAGAATAGCAGATAAAGCTGGGATTGTTTCTGCATAAATATTTCAAGCTTGCTTAGTTTTGCCTGTGTTGTGAGTTATCCAGCTGGCATGTGGGTTAGTGTCTGTCTTTGACAAGAGTATAATCATGATGGCAGCATAAATGAATTTCTGGCCGAAGTTCTTATGCCAGCAGCACTGCTAGTTAGTAACAGGGTTCAGCTGTTTAGACCTTTGTTAATAAAGGTAGAACTGCTTAAGTAGGAGTTAAGGTGTAGTAGGCATCTCCCAGGGAAACATGCAAGGACTCTTTGCAACTGGAAATGGTGTCAAATCAGTGACATTTGCACTGACTAAACCATCTTTGCTGTTGCCTAAGGAGCTTTAGTGGTAAACCCTGCACCTCTTGTGTTGATGTGGTGATATCCCAGTATTGCAAGTAACTTCAGGTGATCTGGGCATAGACTGCTCCTGTGCAGCTGGCAAGTTGACCGTAGGGTGGCTAACTGCTGGGAAATCCCTTCCTGCTTGCACCAGTAGTGGAGCAGAGATGCTCAAACACTTCTGCAAGCTTAACAGCAACAGGAGACCAGAACTTCATCCATACAAGGTGTATGGGGAAGGGTAGTCACACCCAGGGCAAGAGTTTATATCATTTTGGTATTTTTGCTGACCAATTCTCATTGCTGTTATGCACATCAGGCTTTTCCTCATTGGCGAAGGCTGTATAATCTGTTGGCCAGTAAGACCTCAGTAGGGTCTTTCTGAAGACTTCCCATGAGCTGTCTCTGAACACCTGCAGCAGTTAGCAGCTGGACTTTGGGATGAAACGCTTATGAAACTGGATTGGTGGAAGCCCTCCAGGCTTTGAGCTTAGATACTTAATGGGCCTTGCTATTTGGTGATATGGTCCCGTTCCTGCATGGCATCTGTGTCATTTGTTATTGTGTGGGCCTCATATGGTGGCTTTGAGTCTGAATGGATTCTGACTTTACCAAATGTCTCAAATTTAGAAAACCATTGAGTTTTCACAACATATTAGTCACGAACTTCCTCTTAATGTCTTGCTTGGGTATACCCAGAAGGAAGTCTAGATCATGGGAGGATGGTCTGTGACCTTGATATGCTGACAGTTTTGTGCTGTGATTGGCGTCCTAGGATTAAAGTGACCAAACAGTTCAATCAGCCTGAAGCTTCCTATGTAAAAGCCACTGCTTTACCAACTATCAGTGAATTCCTGCCCAGATTGGGTAATTTCAAGCAAGCTAACTCATGTGCTGCAATGATGTTGGCATGGGTAAGCAATCCATGTGAATCTGTGCTGTGGTAACTTTGCTCAGAGACCCTGGCTGGGTTGTCTGCACTGGCACTTGAGGGATGTTTTAGTAACTAAATTACTAATCCTAAGGGAGCTGCCTCAAAACTATCACTGGTGGAAACAGCCAGTGTAAGACTACTTGTGGGAGTAAAACTAGCTATAGTCCATATCTTAAATAAAATCAGGCATGGTGTTCTTATCTCTTCTTTTAACCCTTGTTCTCAGATTAAGTGATAAGACCTGTTCATGTGAACCAGGATCTAGTCTGGCAAAAATCTTGATCTTTCTCCTATACATATATATTTTCTTCCTCATTTATACCTGTTTGTGCCTCACACTCAAGGTAAATCTGTTTTTCATACAAGCTGAATAACCTCTGCTTAGACTGACGCCCATTTGTGGTTTTTAAACAGGGTTTCACAGAGTATTGTGTTGCGTAGCAGCTGTCAGACCAAGGCTGGTAGTGGCTCTTGCCTCTCACAATGTTCTGAACCCCTGTGTAAATGCAAGCAATAAATCTGAAGGATCCAATTCCAATGAACATGAATAACTCTGAAAACAAACAAATGAACACCCTTCCCCCCTAGCTTTACCACCAATTTTAAGGTGGTACCCAGGTCTCAGAAAGCATGTTGCCATATAACGAGTTCTTCGTTCTTCTGTCACTGAGTGGTGGGAACTTTTTCTTCCCCCTAGAGATTCTGGTGTTAAGTCCTGCTTTTAGTATTTGTTTTACCTTTTTTTGGTGGGCCTCATACTTTGTTCTCCCCTATGCTGCTTTTATTGTTTGGATCTTTTCCCTAGTTCATCCTTGCTGCTTTCTGGAGGTTTCCATTGCACCTATGTTAACCACAAAAGCTGTGATGGTGGCACTGCTCCTGGGAGACAGGAGCACAGTTGGTGGTGGGCAGTGGGGAGTTGTCCTATGGTATTTGCACTGCTGGGCCATGAATAGGGCACTCTCTCCCTCAGAGAGGAGCTAGGTCAGTGGTACCCTTAGGCATCCCTCTTCTGCCTCTCCCATGCTTTATATTCTTTCCTAATACCTTACTGACAGGCTTCCTGTGATATCAGTGACTCACGATGGTGTGATGTGGCACCAATACCATACTACACACTTCCCCTTCTCCCACAGTCTGAGAGTTATCTCTGTTCAGACTGCCTGGGACTCTCTGCTTTTTTCCCCCTTGGTCACTTAAGAAGCAAGGAAATGGTTAATGTAAGTGAGAAGCTGCTCTTGAGAATTGTTGTGCTTATCTCAAAGCAATCAAAACTGCTGAAAATGTTAACTGGAAAATATATAAGCCTGTTTTAGAAGTTTTGTTTTAATATATAGCCTGCTCTGCAGTAAGGAGGGCATTTTGCCACAGTCCTGGGAAGAAGCTAATCCCTGAAAGGTACAAAACAAAGTGTGACATCATGAAGCAAATATCTGAGCCCCAAAGCTGCTTTTCTTTCTCCAAGCTGTTCCAAGCAATCTAGTAAAAGGTATCCAAGCAGAATACCTTGCTTGCATTGTAACATCAAGAGGACTGCTTTTGAACTATTTTGACTTTATAGCTTGGTGAGTTATTAGCATATATATATGGTTTACCATATAATCAGACCTATGATGTGAACTTCATTTGTTGCAATTCAACCTGGAGCCCAAAAGTCATTACTGCAGACACTTGCTAAACCAAATTAATTAAAACGTTCTCTTGCTTAAAGAGGATGAGAGAAAAACTTCACTGTTTTTCACTTTTTTCCTTATGAATGAAATTTTACAAGTACTTAAGTAATTTTCTGGGTGGTCATGCGTTTAGTGGTGAGCAAGGTTATGACATAGTGCTTTGCTGCAACATATACGTGGGCTGTACAGCCTGCTGAAGGCAGTGCCTGATTGTCACACAAACAATTTCGCCAATGGGATTCAAAGTTATAGTAGTGCTTTATAATATTTCATCTCATTTCAGGGAAAGAATGTACCCAGGATGAAAGCACAGCTGCAGCTATCTTTGCTGTTCAAATGGATGACTATTTAGGAGGCAAGCCTGTGCAGAGTAGAGAAATTCAAGGATATGAGTCTACTGAGTTTGTGGGCTACTTCAAAGGAGGAATTAAATACAAGGTAAAGATCTGTCTGTCAAAATGTATTATAAAAATATATATGTAGGACTGTGCCCGAAATAAAATATTTTGCTTTGTAATTGGAAAGCTTAAAAATAATTTCTTAATGCTTAGTGGTTTTAGATCTGAGCCAACTATTTTAAACTATAGGAGACCCAGTAATTGTACAGAAAGCAACAGATTGTTTATCAGTGGTTCTTCTGATATGTGAAAACCTTCCCTCCTCTTCCCCCAAAATCTAGCTATCCTGAGATTTCATACCTGTGTCTAAGGGAGCTCACAGTAGGGACTCTGTTTGGGAGATGGTAAATATCACAAAATTCTATGTTACAGACTAAATCATTTTGTGCAAATGCAGAACTGGATGTGCTTATGTGGTTGAGAACATGAACAGAATGGAAAAGACCAAGATCTCACTTTAGTCTAAAAATGATGCTTTTGCAGTCCTACTGCAGGTTTTTGCTTTGCGGTAGATGATAAAACCTCCCAAATACTTTTAATGATTTTTCTTTCTTTTTAAGATGTCTTTAAAGCCCTCTTGTCTCAATTCCAAAAGTTGAATCTTTGGAAATAATTTTTTTTTGCAACATCTTTGTTAGTTTTTTTTAAGAATAAAGTAATATATCTTCTGAAAATGTCCCCATAGCAGGAGCTCTGGGAGCTGTTGCTCAGTCAGCCTTTTATTCCATTATGGAGGTTTGCAACTTGTTATACTTTAAACAAGCAATTTGAAGCCTCTAATTCTGCTTGCGTAAGAGACCTTGGCAGTGACCTGGCCTTTTACTTTTTTCTTTCTTTGTAATTTCAAGAGCCAGTTCCCATTCCAGCCGAAGGTCTGGGTCTCCTGGCAGAGTGGAGAATATGCTCTCACAGAGGCAGACAGCCAAGCCAGTTTACAGGAATAAGTTATGCTTAAATTTCAACTTTATAGATATTGTAAATCAACAGTTTGGTCTCGCTTCGCCCAGTTTGGTGCTCCTTGCTAGGTTGCTCATATGTTGCAAATATTCCTTCTGGAGAATTACAGAGCTGCTGTGGAATTAGCATTTCTGCTACACATAACTGGACACTAGAACAACCCAGACATCTGAGATGTAAGGAAGCTGAGGAAAACTTATACAGGGACTGCATGTTATGCTTTTCCTCAGTGCTTATTTGACAATCTACTGACTTTTGTCTTAACAGTGTGTTTTGGTATTGCCTCATCTTCTGGATGATGCAGCAGAGTGCTGTAAATCCTGTTCTTTCCCTTTGCCCATTCACCTGAAAACCCTTTGAAACATGGTGATAGCGATTCATACCTGAGGGTTAAGCAGCAGGAGCAGCATTTGCTGTGCCTGTCTGGTTTGTGTTCAGCACTGCTAAACAGTATATTATTTTGGCTCCCCTCTCACTGCATAAACTACTTTTGTTTTCTCCTGGTAGCTCCTCACTTGTAAGATAAAGTTTGCCAAAATCAAGCTGAAATAAAGCTTGCTGCTTTGTTTCATTTTATCCAGGCGGGTGGTGTTGCCTCTGGATTTAATCATGTTGTTACTAATGATCTGAGTGCCCAAAGGCTTCTGCATATCAAGGGCCGGAGAGTTGTAAGAGCCACGGAAGTACCCCTGGCTTGGACCAGCTTCAACAAAGGAGACTGTTTCATTATTGACCTTGGAACAGTAAGTATTTCTTAGAGCAAAACACACTGAAAAAGTAAGAGGTTCATCATCCCTTCTAAGGTCTGAATCATCCCCTAAAATGCACAACTGATTTTGTCACTCACTCAAACTGATAGGAAGAATTTGCTTTAGAAAATCAGTTTCTGTCACAACACTTTGAAGGTTCAAAATTGCTGTAAATGTTTTCTGAAGCATGCACAGATTATCTTTCAGGAAAGAGTTCTGTTTCCCACTCTAGGCATTGGCATATTTTACTGCTGATACTTGAACCTTAACCTGTTCCCAGTAAGTTCTGACTACCTTTGGCACTATCGACCAGCTGAATGAGATGAGTGCTACGGTTCAGGGCGGAATGCAGATTGGACCTTTCTCTCAAGAGCATTTCTTCATATTCCTAAAACTGTGTTAAATAGCTGCAAAAGCATTTGTGTTAATAAATGTCATATAAAGTGTTATAAAACTAATATTTCAAGAGATCTCTTGAGAAGCAATCCTATACTTCAAGGTTTTCTACTCAAACCAAGTAGAGATAGTGCACATGCACAGATAATTTTGCTTGCTTTGGGTGATTTAAAATATAGTACTGTCACCTCATGATTAAGACTCTGATACTAAAAGCAGCAAGTGGGTTGTAGTCCCCTAGTTATCGATTTGAAATAATTCCTGTGCCTGATATGCTGGCATGTAGAAAAACAACATATGATGGAAAACAGCTTATCTGCAAGGCAGCATCTTCCGTTGGTCTTAACTGCAGTGCTTCACAAGGAAGTGGTCAGTTACTTTAGCAAGTTTTCAGATAAGAGTTCCCTGACCTATTGAAAAAGGAGCTCTTCTGAACTCATGTTACACATTTGGCTTTTTCCTCTGGAAAGCATCCCCTGGTGTGACAACTGAAGTTGTTAGTATCAAGTAGCTATATTGATTATATCTGTTTTTTATAATGCTTAGTAACCTTCAGGCAGAACACCGACCAGTGTTTTCCCAGCATCCCGTTCCTCCTATGGCAGTGTGGTCTAATCAACTGAAAGAGTCTAACGATCAGTATCCCAACACTTGTATCTCAATGTCACTTTGCAAAGTTAACACATGGGAGATGGCCAATTTGGAGCTAAACACATAGAGAAAATGCTGCTTTTGCGGTCAGGCTGTCACAGGCCTTGAGTTCACCTCCCATGAACATGCTGTGGAACTGGTGTACTCCACGAATTTGACTAGTCCTGACCTCACTGTGTTACAGTTACCCAGTTCACCTAAGGTAGTTGTTCGGGTCACACTTCAGGTGTGACAATAACACTAATATGTAGTGCTGTTACATGTATATCTTGGCTCTCATCCTTTTTGATGAGATTTGTCAAGAGGAGAGTGCTGCCACTAAACTATTTAAATACCACATAGGTTCATTTCTAATACTGAATGTACACTGTGAGCCTTTATCATACTGCAGCATCACTCTGATTTCCCGTTTGACAAGAGAGGTCAAGCAGCAATGCAACCCTGTGCCTTTGCAGGAAGATTAGATTTGAACAACATCTAGATCTCTTTTGCCATGGTATGGGAAATGGCACTCAAATAACATGACTAATAACAGTTATGAGTCTTCCCATGTCAATGGTATGTGAGGGATGTGTTTTCTTGGATGTATTAAGGAAAAGTGTTTCAGTAGACATCTGTAGGAATTTAATCATAGGTTATTATATAAACCAGACTTTTCCTGTGGAAGATGAAAAGGCAATGTGTGACATAGTTCAAGATGAAGATATGTAAGTCTAGTGAAATGCCTATAGAAAAATAGGGGTGATCAAAAATACACTGTCACAGTGGCAGTCTTGAGCAAGTCTTATACGAACTATGTTTTGAGCTGAAATAACAATTTCAGATTGAAATTTCCCGTGACTAGAGGTCCACTGTAAATGGGTGTTTACAGGAGCTCTGAGTTGAATTTAGCAGTAGTTCACAACAAAAATTAAAGTAATGGGAGAGCATGAAGTGACCAGCTCATTTTACTTAACTCAGTTCAGGAAGCTCTGCTGTATGAAGGCTCCCTGAAGTTGTATCCTTACTGATTAGCAAAAATACTCTCTACACATTCGTTCAGATAGAGCTTTGTGAAATGTAGGACTGGGTTCTGTCAGGCTGACTTCCCTCCTGATGGGTGGCAGCGGCAGTGCTAGGAGCCGCAGTGCTATGAGCCACAGGGCTGCAGAGGGCAGGGAGAGGACTGTGTAGCACTCAGCCTCCTGGAAGAAATTAGGCAGCCCTTAAAAGAAGGGGAAATGAGGAATGTGTGGTAAGTACCAAATAGTTCTGAGCTGGGGCCTGATGGAAGCTGGGAAGTTTTGTCAGTAGAATCAAAGTTCTGCTAATGAAACAGGACTCTTCTTCCCAAAGGAAGAATGCAGGCAGTGAGATGATAACTGTGTCTCAAGTGAAGACTAAAGGTAGACTGCAGCCAGTTGTCCATTCTTCCTTTTCCTATAGTGGTGGTTATAAACTGAATTATACAAAGCCATGGGGTTGCTGGTTTGAAATTTGAGAGCCTATGATGTGCTTAAAAACAACTTGTGCCATCCAGTAACCAGTGTATGTACTTCTCAAGGACTCCATGAATCACAAGAGAAAATTACGATGTTAGAGCTCAAAAGTATGAGACTGAATAAAGCTGTTGTGATCATGTAGCCGTCAGTGTGCTTCTGCCTGAGCTCTTGAATTAGTAGTTATGTCAAAAGGAAAAAGATTGCTGCCTTGCACAAAGACACTAGAAAAAATAAAAGCAAAAAGGCTTTTTATCACATCTGCTTTTCATAAAACCTGTTAGCCTGCTACAGATTAAATTATGTTTGCAAAAAGAAAATTAACTGCTGCTTTTTTCTGCTTTTTAACAGTAAAAGACCAAGAAGACATCTATTTTTCTTTATGATTATGCCTATGGGGTATCGCATTGCATGTTAAGCACAGCTGTAGTTTTGCTTGCTCCTGTTTTGCTTTTTGCCTGCACTCTCTTGTAGGTGGCTTTGCTTCTCTTCCTTCAGAGAAACCAATTTACAATCAGCATATTAATAGTCTTAATAAAGTCACTGTTTGTATGTAAACAGAACTGGAAGAGCAGATTCTTGCATGTTGGGGGTTGTCAGTTTAAGTTTCTCGTTGATTTCCCTGGCATTAACAACTGATCAATCATGTCCTTTTTCCATGTTTTTTCATTCACATGTTTCTCCTACAGCTAACCTCTTCCCCAGTTTCCCCCAGCTAAGAGCTAAACTGTTGCTTGTGCTGTAGTGGAGAACTGCCAAACAAGTAGCAGAGTTTGAGGAACTAAACTGCTTTTGGTCTTTATTAACTCTGTGGACTTTAAAGTGTGTTTCTGTCTGTGCATGGTGTATCTCAGTAAGCAAGCACACATTTTTGTGTAATACCATGAACCAATTATTTTTACAGCTCCAGCAGTTTGAACTCCAGCAGTCTGGAAATTTTTATAGTCCCAAAATGATGATGGAGAGAAAAAAAACAAAACAAAACATTAAGCTTCCCCCACCTTCAGTCAGAGTTTCCAGGGTATGTAGTTTTCCTTCATACTCTATGGACTTGAAAGCTTCCCCTCAGCCCCACTTTTATGCAGAAAAGCGGCTGAAACTGAGAGAGTCATTAAAGTTCAAGGTGGAGAGCACATACATGTATACACAAGGATTCAGGCAGGTTAGTTTTCTTCTTGGTACTGTAGGGAATTCAAATGTTTTGCTCTTTGAGTAGCTGTTATTTACAATGAATATCCTCCTGGTGCTTACCATTTAATGCATGATGGTGTAGCAAAAGCTGTTCCTAGCATACACGTCAAAACAGGTGTGAGAGGAAAAATGAATGTGGTAAGTGTATGAATGTGGTACATCTGACTTATTTTTAGTCTGACAATTTGTTCCAGTTGAATCAAATGGGAGACTCCAAGACTGGTTACAAAGGCACTATTGTAATTATACCAGGGCCAGGCTGATGGTGGCCCTTGCAGCTTTCTGAGTGAATTGAGAGTTTGTTTTGGATTATGAAAACTTTACAACTTTCAATGGCTCAGTGTGTCCCAGTTTAACACATGTAAAAGGCAGATTGGATGAATATGTGAAATGATTTCCACTCCCCCCTGCCTGTGTCAAGAATTCAACAGTCAAGACAGGAAAAAAAATTGAATAATTTAAGTAGAAAAATGTCTCCAGAAGCTTATATTAAGCTGGTTTGATCTAAACATTCTTCTTAATATATATATCAATTCCAAAAATCAAAAGTTTTCTACATCATCTGGACTTTTTTATTTAGCACTTTTTTCATTAAAAAAATAATACTTGCAACAAAGCCCACATCACACTCCTGCTTTTGGGCTCTCCATTTTATTTCCAAAAACTTGGTGTTTGAAGTACAAACACTGGGGTAATGTGCCTTTGTTTTACAAACACTTTTACTGAGAACTGAAGGCACTGGAAGTACTTCTGTTGTTTGCAGTTTATATCAAAACTTTTTTGCAAGTCTATTTGTATTTTGTATTGTCATTTTTCCTTTAAATCTCATAACTTTAAGAGACTAGACTTTAACAAAGAACAGTTCGAGCTAAAATGAACTCGTGCCTTATTGGAACAGCTGTTTATTAATGACCATGAAGAGAATGGATGGAGTCTCAGCTGAGTGCATGCCAATTACTTTGATAGTAGCATGAGAAGATACATATAGAAGCTTTGCCAATATTTGTGCATGTTCAATCTGCCTCTAGCTTTGCTACTTTTATTCTGCTTCCCTCAAGAAGTGGTATCTAGAGTTGACTCACATGGGAGCATGAGGAGTGCAGGCTTCTTTGGGAGTTCCTGCATCGCAGTGCCTCTCTTCCTGACCTGCCTTTCTTTAGATGCCTCATGATCCTTTCTTCTACCTACCCACTGTGAAACCACTGCAGGTGCTTTATGTCATTTGGTTATTTGTGCAATCTCTGATCTGCTTCTTTCTCAGAAATGGAAGCAGCTAAG